TATATGTAATATTTCATAATAATTCAGTTAAAAATCTTTACATGAGTTCCTAGTATGCATTTTCCTGCATTTAGTTGTGATTACTTATGAAAAACAAACAAACAAAGATATTTACACTTGAATTATAATCATTGCAGACTACACAAACAATCATCCTTTCCAGCATTAAGGTATTAGATCATGAAACATTACCATACACAGCAACCTTATTTTTTAGACTATTGTAGCACATTTGCTTGTATACTAAATGAAACAATAATTAGTAATAAATGTGAAAATGAATACATATATTTTTTGATACATATTGACTTCTTGATGCTACCAAAGAGAACAGAGAATTGAACATGCATCACTAAAGTTTGTTTCCTTATTGCAGATATTTGCACAAAACTACATATTATATTAGCTGTCCCTAATTTTGAGCTGCTAGAATAGAGGGAAGGCAGTTAGTAAACAGCACTATCTACAGGTCAAAGTATATAACTGACATGAAAACCAAAAATTAACTTCTGTTAACATTATAAAAAAAAAGTTTTTTGCTGCGTTACAAATTTAAAATGCTAGATTTTAGAAACTCTGAAACTTTTCAGAATTGGTTTTCAGAAATTTAAATATTCACCATCAATCTCCCATCATCAGCACCTGAAAATAACTCTGAGAATATCTGTATCACAATATACCATTCACAGGAACGATGACTCCATATGAGTAGGAATAACAGCAATCATCAGCTAAAATGAGCATCTTTTAGTTACAGCAAAACATGAAGTGGTTTGGCAACATAACACAAGCTAGAGGTCTTTCAAACACAACCACAGTGAAAGGACGATAGGCAGTCCAAAGATGACATGACAGAAGAATACCATCATCTGGATATGAGTATCATAGGCAGCTTCTTTGAACCTCAAGATATAGATTGAGAGGGAGATGGTAAAAAAAAAACGTATCAATACTGGCATTCCTACAATCAACTTGGTCAAAGGAAAATACTATACTGTAATTGTTTTTGTTGAATTACCGTACCAAATTTGTAATAGTGTAAAATACTCTGATTATCTTTTATTTAATGAAATAGTACTTTTTCAAGGCCATAAAATAGTACTCACAGACTTAATTTTGAGATATAAACCTTACATGCTCTTGATGGAAAATTAACATCATGTTTGTCATTGATACTTTTATGATTAACTTACTTTCAGATACATATTAATGATTTCTATAAATTTTGTTAAAACATATAAAATAGTTTAAGTTGTCCAAAAATCTTTTTATATATATACTTTGTATGTGTAATAAAGATTGATATTAAAAGTAAATAACTTTTCCAAAAAAAGAACTTCAGAATTTTGATTCAAACTATCCCACCCATTTTAAAGCTACAATACAGGGCTTCACTTTTAAAGTACATATCCTTCATTCTTAATAGTGATTCAATCTGATACAAGTTCATTTTTAAACTGAGATGTATATGACGATAAAAACTTCACAATTTATACTATGTTTATCAGTAAACTCTCCAGTCACAGTTAGTTACTAACACCATATTTTAGAAAGTAACATAACCTGAAACTTTAAGTCTAATATGCCTCCAAAAACCATGTAAAGTTGACACATTACAGTACATCAAAGTTAATATGAGTTGCATTTTCCACCTTTACCTAATGTTTGGTATTTCTCAGAATAGCTTTGACAACTGTGTAAACAAAGCTCTATTTTGATAATGAAAATTTAGTTTTAAGTTTGATAAGCATATCAAAATTTAGATTTAAATTAATACATAAATTAATTTTTTTCCATAAAACTCCAGAGGTAATTGTTAAGTATTTCTAAACAATTGAATGTTATTGAACTAAATGTATTCACCACTTTTTCATCAAAAATATACAGAGAAAAGCATCCTTTTTACCTACTGAACATAATGAAAAATGTAGAGAAGTTTGACAAGATTCTGGAGACAGATTTATTTCATTCATTTTTTTATGCAAGAGAAATTAGTTTGTCATTGGTGCAATTTAATGCAGATCTTAAGAAGAGCACAATAAAAGTATTTTGTACAACGCAGAAAATATTTCAAATGCCAGTTGAAATAAAAATTGGCCAAACTATGCACACCTACTGTTCTTCTATTGTTATTGTGAATTTTACACACACAAATGATGTTGGTGAATGTTATGAATTTTTAATACGCTTATCACATATTTTGGTCATATAATTTCATTTCATTTTCTTGTTACTGTAAAAATGAACTCTATGAAGTAAACACACAAATGTATTTACAATCTATTGGAATATTATTTTTAAATTCTCATAATACATGCACAGGTGGAGATTTATACCAGAGAGTCAAGCATGCTTATCACCTGTGACAAATATGAAGTTGAAAACATCCCGCTGAATGATATCAAAGATGAAACAGAAAGACTTTAAAAATAATAAGACACAAAAATGTTATAATGCATTAATGAGCATGAAGTAAGTTTATTTGGCACTCAATAGCATACTTTATCTATAAGTTTTCAAAGTAACTTTGGAATCTGTGGAATTCGTACTAGCCTTTGCCAAAACTATTTAAATATTATTCATGCACATATCTTAATTAACTATACATGATAAGTATATAATACCTAAATTCTTGTTGTCCAAAATATTACGTTCTAAAAATTTTAATTTTTTTTGTTGAAGCAATCTCTCCTATATGTAACAAATGTTTTACCAAATCAGCTTAAAAAAATTTTTCAACACAGGTCTTCCAGAAAACATTTAAATTACATTGAAAGGATTTCTGACACCTTTCTTTTTTCACAGACACTATTTCATAAATATATAACATTCAAACATTTATATCTAAATACTGCTGGTATTTCCGAATTTAAATCTCCCTTTTAGATAAATTTATTCTTAAATTAATAAGCTGCCCTATAAAAAAGTGAAAGGGAAAAGGGTTCCTAGAACTATTTGTTAACTAAATTTAAGACCTGTAGACAGTTAGGCATAGATGTAACTGCTATTTGGCATGTACTTTGTAATCACATTTGTACACATACATTGAGAAGTAGATAAATTAATTGTGTGTTTTACACTTTCACTGTATGAGTGAACAGCCTAAATGCCCATTGTTCCAAGTTGGAATGCCTTTGAGCACACCTTGCAATAGGCTTTGTACTTGCCATGTCAGACCAACCAATAGTTGTATTGACTGTCTCCAGCCACTTATCATTGAACATACAATTTACCATGATTTTGGTTAAGCTTAATGCAAATGGACCATAACCACAGTAGGCCTAGTCCTGCCATTTGCATTAGCAGCACTGTGCATGTCTATTAAAACAAGTCAAACTCGATTTTGTGCTCCTGGTCCAGGTAATAGGCCTAGACAGAACAAACGCATGGCAAACTCAATTTAATGCTCCCAGTTTCGTGTAGGCTTAGATGGAATGAATGCAAAGTACTATAATGCTATTAAGCATAGATGTAATATGGAACAAACCAAAGTTATGAAAAAGATACAACATCAATACCCACATAAATTATATTCAATCCCTTTTTAAGACCTCAAAAGCCAAAACCTGTGAATTTAAGTCTTTTTAAGGACTGCTAGGAACCCTGGGTAAGAGAAAATGGTGAGATAAACTAGTTATTCTTCTACACAGAGATTCAGCTTTTAAGATATATCTTTCTGATAACACAACATTTAATGGATTTTATACATGCTTTTCCTGTGGAAATACCAGAAAAAACAATAAAGTTTCTCCTTTAATTACTGCTACAAAATACAGACTACATCTAACAGTACACTTCAGTTCATCTGCTTGTACTGCCTGTAAGTTATGCGAAGCACTGGAGTAAGTTTTGTAAATTTACATATTTGGGAAATAATCAATCAAGACATTCCCAACACTTGGATCAATTAACGTCTACAAAATGTTACTGTGTTTTAAATGGAAAGCATGTCATCACTAGATGACATGAATATATTACACACACAAAACATTTTTCAGTTTAGTTTAAAACAGCACCTGATGCAAGAAGGAATAAAACTGTTTCAAATGATTGAGAGACTTAAATATGCAATAAGTAGTATTAGTACAAAAGTGCTTAAAAAAAGAAAGATAACAAAACACACCTTAAAAACAAGTTTCAATATAAAAGACAGTGTAATAAATAAACTATATATAAAAAATGTCCATTATAACATGAAGCTGCATCTTAAATCAAATAGATGTTTTACACACTTTAAAATTTCATTTTATAAGTGCAACTTAAAAAAAAAAAGAAGGTGCAATTAATTTTCTGAAATGTTGTTTGTATGCAGAGCTATTCTAGTCACCTCTAATTTTAAAGTGATAGACTAGAGGGAGGGCAGCTAGTTAACATTATCACCTCCAGCTCTTAAGTTACTCTATTTGAATAGTGGGATTTGATCAATACTCTTACAAAATATCCAAAGTGTGGAGTGTAATTTTTTCCCAGCAGTAAGGGGTATGAACCATGGAAACTCAGATACACAATCCAGCACACTAGCCACTAGGCCACATTTGGCCCAATTTTTAGAATTAGAGAATTAAAGGAAAAAAAACTGAATTTAAAAGCACCAGCAAACTACACAAAAAAGGTTAGCTTCAGTGCTTCACAAAACTAGTCAAAAGGTATACATTTTATAAAATCACTCTTCAGAAATGTTGGCTTTGTAAACATACATAAATTCCTTTTTTTTAACAATTCTAACAACCAGCTACTACAAAATAGCTTTATTATTATCTACAGGGTTAGTAGTCAAACATTTTGTAAATTAAACTGAAAAACAACAAAAACCTACAATATAGATTTATAAAATAAGCCATATAACTACTTAAAATTTGTTTGTGAAAAGTAGCTATATAAAACAATTAGATAGGTTAATTACAAAAAAAGGAATTCTATAAAGTCTACTTAAATAATACAGGACAATAATCATACTTTCTTTAAGTATGCATTGTTATTAAACTTTTAAAACGGATTAATGATGCTTAATAGAGTAAAAAAATTAGTTTGGTTAGTTTTCAACATTTTAAATTTCTGTTAAATATTAACAAAAAGTTTGCACTGAGGTAATCCAAATAAAACCTGTACAATGAATTAGAGATGTATTATTTAAAAGAAAGAATAATGTGCAATTTTAATTAGCTTTAAGAGACCATTAAGAAAATTAATGTGCCATCAGCTCTTGTGCTTGGTTGCCCATAAACTGTGTAACATTGAAAATGAACTTGTTGTCTCTGAATATTATATAAAATAAGTGTGAAACTGCAAACATCACTCTGGCATCTTCCTAAACTAAGCAAAATTTGTCTTATGTTTAGAAGTAATAGACTAGGTGCTGAACAGAAGAAGAGAGGAAAAGATCTAACTTCAACTTAGGTTCCTCTCTTCTGCAGCAGATTGTGATGGTAAATCACTGTGGGTATGTGGTTAGAACACCACATGCAAATACAGAGTAAACATTGCAAATCACATTTAATCCTCAGAGTTTCTTTAAAGGTTTGACCAGATACAGTTTGCTTCCATGAACATTAGTGTATATTGGAGCCCTTTTGTAGTGTTCAACAAGATCATCAAGAGATATAAAAGTTCGCTGGCCAACACAATAAATTCCTTCTTGTACGTGTACCCTGAAGTGTTTGTTCTTGTTTGGTGCTTTTAATGACACTGAGAAGTTTCCAATCTGTATTAAACAGAGAAAATATGAGTGAATATGGTATTACGTTTACATTGAATCATCATATTTATCTGACTTGCAACTATATTTATACACACACACATAATATATATATAGTCTAGATATTAAATTAACACATTAAATTACTACATATATGTATAAAAAAATAAAGACAAAATTATAACTAATTTATATGAAAAAAATTCTACAATTCTGAAACTTCAGGAAAACATTTGTAATAGCAATACTGACAAATTCAGTAGACTACGTTAAAACAAGATCATTAATACAAAAATAATAACTTTACATTTCTTATAAACTCAAGATGTACAAACTTTAGAATGTGTAAAATTCTAACAATACTCACATCTCTGATAAAATATATGTACACATATGGTACTGGCCACTTTATTTAAACCCCATACATTTGTAGAACATTCTGTATTTATATGCAAGATATACTGATCATGTGACGTGTCAGGTAGCTGCTTAAATCCAACAAACACAGAAATGTCATATCACTGATATCTGTAAAATCATGGTTAAGAATAATGACCTCTCCATCATTCATATGGACATAATCTTGGCATCTAGTATGAAGATATCATCAAAGACTGTTCTCTGACTGACTATTTATCCTTGTTGACTGAACAGTGAGAATATGAATAGGAGAGGCTTGTGACGTGCAACAGACATCACACTAAGTATTAAGTGACCAATTTCTTCAAGATCTAACTACACCTGGAACTACAATGTGCTAAAGACAATTAGAAAAACTGTCATATGGAAGGTAACCAGCTAGAAAACTTCTTTTCTCGAATAAAAACAGGAAAGAACAGTTCCAGTGGTGCTTAAAATACAAATTATAGATAGGAAATGGCTGGAAGCATGACGTGGTCTGATGAGTTGCATTTTACACTTTTTTTGCAGTAATTTTAGAGTAGCAATATGGAAAAAAAAAAAATCAAATGATGTATTTGATTTTGCTTTTGTTTTTCCAACAGTAGAAGCTACAGGTTGTAGTGCAATGGTTTGAGTTATGTTCTCATAGAAAGGACCTATTCCTTATTTCCCCTTTAAAAAATGCAAGTATATTAAAAATTTATTGAACATTCTTGCTGATCATATTCACATCATAATGCTGTATTTTTACCCTGACATACAAGTTTTCCAAGTTGATAAGTGTAATAATCCATTGTTCAACTAGTCAGTAGCTGTAGTCATCTTTTTTGCTTGCATAAATACTAGATTTCAATCCAAATGAGAATCTTTAGAATGACTTGAGCTTTCTACCAAAGTAATCTCCTACCAACATCTGTGAATCTATTACAGATAATACTCCTTGATGAATTGGGTTACAATGTATGCCACACTGAAACCAATTCCGATGAAAGGTTGTCCTATTAAGTATTAAATGGGGATCCTAATAAGGTGGCTAGTCAGTGTCTACATAACACTGTCTAAGCAGGAAAGTTTAATTAGATGTACACACTTTAAAACTGTCCAGACTGCAAAGTTCCTTTGTTTAAAATATACTACTAAAAATTTTGAAAAAGAAAAAATGTATATATGTATACAATGTATTTTCTTAAAAGTGGATGTATATTTTATCTGTACAAATAAAGTTTATATAAACCCAAAAAACAACTTGTAAACTGTTTCCTAACTCTCCCTGTCTTTATCAAAGGTACTTTATTTGGATATATTTTTGTCTGCCATGAAGAAGAAAATTTTTAGCTTTCAAAAGCATTCAGGTTATTGGGTTACATTGTAGGTAAATCAAAATATAAGTACTAATTTGCTCTTGGGTGCTTTCAAATACAAATCTATATTGATAATTTTTCTCAAGTTAAATTAAACCTTTGACATACACACATCTACAAGTTTTACAATGCAAATGTATGGGGATATAAAGGATTCACAGAAACAGCCGAAAAGCAAAACTTGTGTATATTAGATATACACATCAGATGTTATAGTTAGAGGGTAGTATCACAAGAATTCTGCAGTAAGTGTGTGTGCATCTGTGTGTGCGTCCTCATGAAAACAGTACTTTGTGGACACGGTGGTACACCTGCTATTTTGTTCTATCAGATGCTAATTCCTAGAAGCAGGTCTATATTGCACAAAATAAGTCTTTCTGTCTTGTATATTTTAAGTAATAAACATGACTATTAATTTCACTTTGCCCAGTCAGAATGCTGTAGCCCTTCACCAATAGGAGGGAGACACAACCTACATGTGCAGTAATCCCAGTGAAGCAAAGAAAATGTATTGGAAGTGAGAAGGAATGGTGGGAAAATAGTATCTATCTGAAATACACTTCTGAAATGTTAACTTCAGAAATACCGCCTACTTCTCTGCAACATTAAGAGCTGGAATTCTACATTGAAAATGGTGGAGGGGTTGGTACTGTTCAATTACAAAGATGAGATCTTTTCTGAAAAAGCAACAGTGATGCAGCTTTTGGGTAAGTATTCCCTATGAAGCAACACAGACTCTAAGCAGGTTCTGATGGCATTAAGCATAAGGTGTTCTTCCTTATGTAACATTTGATATGGTGAGTCTTTCCTTCTCTTGTGCAATTTATGTTTTTATTTACTTTTTATTCTTTTTTTAGTTGAGGAAGTTGCAATTAGTTGGAACATGTACAAAAATCATGATGCACACATTGGGTGTCATGAAATGCATGAATGACAGAGATGACTAAAATACACAACAGGCAAAACTCTTCACACTAGAGGCTCTGGATGAACTGGAGAATGGCAAATGAAGGAAGATGAAAACAAGAGGCACATTAAACCACTCAATGATGCAAGTAATGTGAGATGAATGTGTTAAGTCAAGTCCATGTATCAGCCTGTAAGATCTCCTTCAAAGGCCAGTGATGAAAAGAGGTAAGAGAGACTGTGATATACCAAATCTGGTGGGAGGATACACAAATCAGATTCACCCAAAGAAGAATATACAAAATAGATGAGCTGGCAAACCCAACCAGCTAAAGTGGAATGTAACAAATCCAAAGAGGAGGAGGTCTGCCATGACAACAATAGGAAATGGAGATGGTTTCCATGAAAAGGACAGTCCAAGCAAAATAGCAATGCAGAGCCCATAAAGGATACATAATACAATCAGGATCGGAGCAATTACACAATGAAGAAATAGAGTGGAGAGAGATGGGAGGAAACATCCAATCACCCTCCCAGGAAGACCAGACCTTCAAAAGAAAGAAGCAGTCTATAAATAGCATCAGTTGGTCCCTTTGATAACTAAAGGAGATGTCCAAGGTGTAAATGTTTGAAAGGCAACACTTACAAGCAAGGAGAAAAAATGGTTTGAGAGACAAGGATAGAAGAAGCAGGATGCCAGCTGTCTAAAGAGGACATGTAAAAGCTCAAAGAGCCACACAAATGTTCCAGTTGATAAGAGAGACAAAATTAATGATTTAATGGACAAAGAAGGCCTTAAAGGTTTGTGAGAACAGGAGAAAGGAGGGATTGGTTATTTGGTCGTTTGGCATTTTTTGGTGCAAAGCAATTAGGCTATCTGCACCAAACAACCAGTAAAATTCTATAAAATGTAAAAATAAATTGAGTTAAAAACTAAACAATGTCCTAAATTTGGATAAAAGACTCAAATAGAATTAAAAAGGCCAATGGCTCAAAATTTTTAAAAACACAATGAAGTTGGACAGTGTCACCATTGCCAATGACACTGTCTAACTTCAGGGGTAAACCCATAGAAAATACATGACTAAAATGGTGCTGCCACTCACAGTCATAACGACAGCATGACAGTAAAACGTGGGCTATTGTGACTTCAGTGCCACATATTAGTGAATCAGTCCCAGATAAAAGAAAATGATGAGTTAAAATTGTGACCAATGTGTAGCCTAGCCAGGAAAACTTCCTCCTTACGATCCTTGCAGAAACAAGATGGCCAAAGAGCAACAGAAGGTTTGATCTGGAAAGGATTGTTATGACCTTGCTCATTCCAAGTTGACTGCTAACTGGCATGAAGCGGAGCCTTGAATACAGGACTGTAGCCCATATATGGGACAGGCATGGCTGTGACAGCACCAGAGCAGATGGACTTAGCTGCAGTGTCAGCGAACTCATTCCTGCGTATACCTACATGGCGAGATATCCAGAAAAACTGGATAATAATGAAAGATAGAGATAGTAAGGGCCAGTCATTGTTGAATATCAACAAGAACAGGGTGAGAACTAACGTTAAGCAATTCCAGGGCCAGTAGAGAGCTAAGAGAGTCAGTGTAAATCGTACAATCAGTGTACTGCATAGCTTCTATGTGATCCAGGGCAAGAGGAGTGGCATACAACTCAGCAGTAAAACAGAAACTGTATAGGGGGATCCTGTGAGCAACCATCAAGCTACAACAAACCATGGCAGAGCCTACAGAGTCACCTGATTACAAACCATCTGTATAAACAGGAATAGATGAGTGTTTCGAAAGATGTTTGGCAAAGAGAAGATGGTACTTCCAATCGGGAGTATCCACCTTCCTCAAATGACTTAAAGAAAGGCCATAGGTGGGATGGTAATATGCCATAGCAGGATGGGCTGACCAATGAAGACAGCAACATCATCCAATGATAGACCCAATTCAGCTAGCTGCACCTGGATACAAAGGCCAAAAGGAAGAATGGCAGACCATCTAATCTGAAAGAACATAGCCCACTGAGGAAGCCAAAACCCTAGGTGGGATGCTGTAGTAGGGATAAAAGTTTAGTACCATACTGAAAAGAAAATTGCAAATGAATGGGTTAAGAGGAGGTTCATGGGACTTAGTGTACAAACTCTGGACTGGAGAAGTGTGGAAAGCCCTCATGTTATGCCAAAGCCCCAGAGGGTGAATGGGGTCCAACATCTTCAAGGCAGAGGCCCTGGCAGAACCATAGACCCATAGTCCAGTTTGGATCTAATGAGGGCATGATAGGTCTTGAGCACGGAACACTGATCTGATCCCCAAGAGGTGGAAGAGAAGGCACGGAGGATGTTCAGTGCCCTTGTGCACTTGACATGTAGCTGCTTGTTGTGAGAAATAAAAGTAAGCTTACGGTAAACTAAAAGCCCCAAGAACTTTGCCTCAGGAACCACAGAAAGAACCACATCACTGAGATGGAGCTCAGGATCAGGGTGTAAACCTCATTGGTAGCAAAAGTGCATACAAACTGTTTTGGAGAAAGAAAAAGTAAAACCATTTGCTATAGTCCACTTCAAAAAGAAATTGAGGGCAGTTTGAAGCTGATGCTCAATAAACCTCCTGTTTGACAACTGACAATAAATATGGAAGTTGTCAACATAAAGGCCATTTGCAACCATAGGAGGAAGTTGTTTAGTGATAGCATTGATCTTGATTCAGAAAAGTGTGACACTCAAGACACAGCCCTGAGGGAATACAAGTTCCTGTGTGAAATAATGGGAAAGGGTCGAACCAACACAGACTTGGAATCACCTGTTGTGTAAATAATTACAAATAAAAATGGGCAAATGGCCACACAACCCATATGAATGGAGGTCCCACAAAATGCCGTACCTCCGTGTAGTGATGTTAGCCTTCTCAAGATCAAAGAAGACACAAACAATATGTTCTCTCTTGAGAAAGGCTTTGCTGATGGAGGTTTCAAGTTGAATCAGGTGGTCCACGGTGAAGCACTGCTGACAGAACCCACACTGGGTGAGAGAGAGGAGGTTGTTTTATTCAAGGAACCAAACAAGATGAGCATTAACCATCTTCTCTAAGACCTTACACAGACAGCTAGTCAAAACAATTGGATGATAATTAGAAGGAATCTTGGGATCCTTCCCAGACTTAGAAAAAGGTAGGACAATAGTCTTGCGCCAAGCATCAGGAAAAATGTTCTCCTGCCAAATCTGGTTAAAGACAACCAGAAGAAGAGCAAAAGAGGCAGGAGAAAGCTTGAGTTCCACCAGTGTAAGGGGACAATTATTATTATTATTAAGGAAAGAGGTGATCGCTCTGCATGAGACTTGATGGCCAAGAAGGTGGGGAAAGAAACAGAAGTGTTGGAGAGGTGAGAAATACTCTCGCCCAGAGTATCAGCAATGTTCTGTACATCAGCAACTTCTTGGCCATTATTAAAGATGGAAAGGGGATGGGAAGCATACCTCCCATTGACCTTCCGAATCTTGTCCCATGTGTCTTTGGAACTGGTGGTAGAAGAGATGCTAGTTGTGAACTTAATCCAACATTTCTTTTGGCTTGGAAGTCTGACCTGGATAGTTGGAATAATTGGAAACATCAGTTGAATATTTTTTTGGCATTAATTGATTTAATCAAAATTTTGATTAACTGAGTATATTATGTGATACTAATTGATGTAATCAATGCTTATAGATAATTGGTTAACCAAGTCAATTGCCCAGCTCTATGTACTAATATATTCTAACCCAAACAAACCTCCAAATCACTTATGAAGTTAATATCAATGCACTGGTGATTTCCCACCCATAACATTCTGGATTGAGCACAGCTAGCTTACATATGTATGATGTGCCACATCCATGCAGATGTCTCAAGATTTCACTTTGGAAACAAAAGGTGTTGTAGAATTGTAAGAATAACTTGTTTAATATTAAAGCAACTAGCAACACAGTGCTAACACAGTCCTGTTCCATCAGTTAAATATAATTGTTCCTCCTCAGTAATACTTTTAGTATGTAAAACAATATGTCTCAAGGGTGCTCCCTTAATTTAAATACAAGGGTTCTAAGGTCCCAAAACTTAGGATCAACACTGATTATGTAACATACTTCAAAACATATTTGCTGGAAGTTGGAGTTCTGGGAGAGAAAAAGTGAATCCAGTGTATGTTGTGTTTACATTTTAGTTTTTCAAAACTCTTCCTTAATTTCTAACTGCATGTATATTAGCCAAGCTTTTCTTGTTACACATTCAAAATATAATAATTCAAAGAAATTAAGAAGACAATAAGTTAGAAATATATATAATGTGGGGATCAAAATTACTATATATATATATATATAAAATTATATAACTCATAGCATACACACCAAAACTTACATTTGTTTCACTGTCCCTAATTAGAAAGTCTCCATCTTGTCCAAATTCACTAAGCATCTGATCACACTGGCTTCTGGTAACATTCCCAAAATACCACTGCTTAGCTAGCAAATCCTGTCTTAAAACAGGAACTGGTAAAGGACCCCTGTTTCTGGCCTTTGCTATTGGTGATCCACTTGAAGATGTCACACTCATGTTAGATATTTCTGTTTGAATACGACTCAAGTCTGAGAAAACTGGTGTAGGACCACCAACTGCTCTGCCCATAGAAGAGGAAGAGCCCGTAGAATCCAAAGCCCAACTACCTTGTCTCATTGTGATTACTTTAACATAGTTCTTCGGTACTAACCCAACTTCCCCAGCTTGATTACGAGCCCTCCACCAACCAGGATCATTAGCTGGTCGATCAATTATCTCAAGATGTTCACCTTTATGAAACGACATTTCTTCTTCATTCTGTGCAGAATATGAATACATAGCTAAAACTATATCTAAACATTCTGTATCTTTTAATGTTCCTGTAGCTGATCCTGCAGGAGTATAGTTGTGGCTAACATCATTTAAGTCATCAAGTTCTTCCAGAACATAGTTGGAAGGAAACCAGCCAACACAACCTTCATACTCACCTTTCCACCAGCCATCATTAGACTTTTCCATAACAATCACTCGTGTGCCTTTCACTAAAGAAATTTCATCTGATTGTAGTGCTGTATAACTGTATTTTGTTAAAGCTGTTGTAGTTACCATAACTTTGTTCTTAGAGGAGGAACTGTCAGTAGATGAGGCACTAATGTCAATATCTTTAGTAGTTAAAGGTGAAGCAGTAGGAGACATTTTGGATTCACTTTTTCTTTTGACTTTTTTGCGAAAGCTATCAAATATGGAAGTTTTTTCTCGCTTAACAAAATTTGAAGGGACAAATCCAGACTGATTTTTACAATTTGACACTTTCCACCAGTGTTTGCTATCATCTACTAAAAGTAGCCTTTCACTTTTTCGGATGTCTAGTTCCTGGCTAGCCTGTGCTTGGTAATCATATTTAGCTATTACATATATATCCTCTCCACTTTTACCTGAAGAAAGAAAACAAATAATTCTTTATTAATGATAAGTTTCCATGCAAGTGTTGTTCTTTATTTATATTGGTAGATATTGCTATAAATAAGTACAAACATAACTTCCTAAACAAGTGATAATTTCAACAATTTAAGGCTCCCGGGCCAGATAATATTTCCCCAATAGTGTTGAAGGAGGTAAAAGATTGGATATGTGAGTCACTTACTACTATTTTTTGTTAGTCCTTGAACAGTGGGCAGATACCAGAGAAATGGAAGTTAGCTAATGTAATTCCTCTTTTCAAGGTGGGTCATAAAAATTGTCCCAGTAATTATAAACCCATTATTCTTACATCAGTTGTGGGAAAAGTTTTGGAAAGTCTGATAAAAGATGCTTTGCAAAGTCATTTAACAAAGTTTAGAATTTTATTGGATAATCAATATGGTTTCATTAAGGGAAAATCTTGCCTTACAAATCTTTTGACATTCTTTGAAAAGGCAACTGCTTATGTAGATGAGGGTAAGGGTGTAGATTTGGTGTATCTGGATTTTCAAAAATCATTTGACAAGGTGCCACATAAAAGGCTTGTAAAAAAATTAGTTCCATAGGTGTGGGGGATAAGTTAGCAAATTGGATAAAAGAGTGGTTGGATGGAAGAGAGCAGAGGGTTGTTACAAGTGGAGTTCAGTCAAACTGGATTAATGTTACGAGTGGGGTACCTCAGGGCTCAGTCTTAAGACTTTTGTTCTTTTTGATTTACATCAATGATATAGATGAAGGGATAGTCAATAAATTACTTAAATTTGTAGATGATCTAGGTCTTGGGTGTTGCTAACTGTGAAGAGGATGCTGATGATTTACAAAAGGATTTAGATCATTTAGTGAGTTGGAAAATAAATGGCAGATGGGTTTTAATTATAATAAATGCAAGATAATGCATGTGGGTTATCATAATTTGAATTATAAGTATAATCTTTTTTCATATTCAACAGTGAGAATAGTAGGACTAGTATAAATTTTGGCAAGGTAGGAATCACCTACAGCTAAGACAGTTTTATTTTTCTAACAGGGTGGTTGGCCTTTAGAATATGTTGTTTTCGGATGTTGTATAGGCAGTAAATTTAAATGAGTTTAAGAAAAACTTGATACGTTTATGAATGATAATGGCTGGTTTTAAGATATTTTTTGTATTTTTTTATTTTAATTTAGTTTAGAGGATGGAATAGCCAAGATGGACCAATAGGTCCAATGTTGTCCCAAAACGTTATGTTATGTTAATATCTATATATATTTTTGATATATATATATCAAAAATATTAAAAGAACTACCAGGTTCAAAATACTGTATTTTTTAATATCTTTAGTTGGTTGAAGCACTTTTGCAGCTCGCACTGCTCTTCAGCCAATAGCTATAGATGTACAAGAATTGATCAAACGTTTACACTCTTTGATTTTACCTTTTAACTCCAGGGTATATGTACAAGAAATGAAATAAAAATTTAGTATCAAAGAATGGCAATCACATCATTACATTTATTGATATAAGAATAAACACAGTGAAAAAATGCTATTATGGCCATAAAGTAACCAAATCAATTATTATAATATAATCCTTTGGAATACATTAAAAGTACACACCAAATATTCAAGGAAACCATTCCACAACTTCATAATTATATAACAGGGAAGCAATTTGTTACTCATCAGGATTTCTACCAGCCTACCCTCAAATTGAAATTATTTTAGGCAGAATTAGAGTAAATTAATCTATGAGACTATGAGTCCAAAACTGTAATTAGATCTTGAATCAGTAAAGAGGTAACAGAGCTATAAGATAAAAATTTGTACATGAAAAAAAACAACCAAAAAACTCAGAGCCATTCTATGAGCCACTGTGCCACTTTTTAAGTAACAGAAAGTTAAGTTTGTTTTGGCACAAAATAATTCCTACTGTAGTAATCTGTTTGTGTTACAATAGTGACACCGAAGGAATGAATGCAACACTGACGAAAATATAGACAAGTAAAACAAGTTTTTTCCACATTTTTTCAGACATAAACAAAGCCTTACTGACTAGGTGCAGTAGGCATAATGTACTCATGTCAGTGTACTGCTTATGATAGTAAAGAAGTAATTTCTTCAAACACTCAGTACACAACATTCAGCAAGTTATTGTGTTATATTTTGCTGTAGTGTTATTGAGGGAGGTTTTCCACTATTTTACCCGAGCTGGCTTGTTTATGGTAAAACTGTCAAAACAAAATAGAACATTTCTATCAATTTTTTTTATCATGTAATGTTGATCAGAATTTTATAGTATTTCCAAGGTATAGGCCCAAGTCATATGATGAGGCATGAGGGAATCCACAATATTGTGTCAACGATGTCATGGTAATGATCTTAATAAAGTACCTGATGTTGATCAAACATTTGATATAACCTTGTTAGTAATTTTTTTTTTTGTGAATGTATGTGACATTACTGTAAGTGATTTTTTGTTTACTTATGGAAGGGCAACTGTCTTAAATTTGATCACAGAAATGAGATTTTATCAGTATTGTACAAGGTTAAAATAGCCTTCTTACATGTACTTTAAAAGTTTTAAATTTATATTAATGTACATATATATCTAGATTGCAGGACGATTAGTCACATTTTATAACTGATTAATTATATTATCTGGCTCATTAGCAATTATATTGGATTTTTTTTTTCACTAAAGGTAAAATTGAAAATATAACCTATGATGTAAAGGCCTAATGCATTCTTTGGTTTGCCACACCCTCTGCTGTAGACTGCACTGGAAAAGTGCTTGAATTGTGTTATCAGCACAAAGGCACAATCACACATTTAGACAGTACAATGGGTTACCATGACTAAAGACAGCAGGCACCAATCAGGTGTGAGTGCAGACACACACCTGATGCTGTCATTTTCTCTTTCTCAAGTGGTGGAGGACTATCATCTTATGATGATTACACCACAGGCTGATGTAATAAATGTTGGCATATGTAGGGGTGTGAGCTTTGTTCAAGGCTTGTGACATGTGCAGGAATTCACATGGCAGTGTACATAACAGCTTTTTGTTGTGCATTTCTGAATTGTCCTTTGTTATCTAAAGATTATGTTAAAATGTTCAATTTATTAAGATATGAAATTGAGAGTGTCTTAGAGGTAAGGAAACACAAGTACCTATTTGAAACATATTGGAAAGTTTAGATAAAGGTGAGAAGGGATAAGACATCTTTGTATTAATCTGTAATTCAGAATAGAGTAAGATTACAACTAATCTAGTGCTTAACTCAGGATGTTATAAAGAAAAGTTAGTGGCAAGAATTATGGAAGATTCACCATTTGTAAGGCACAGTGGAAGTAATGACATCAGTGATGGTGGATTAAAGAGCTATAACCAGAAGTGAAAAGCTTCTCCAGTTTTAAAAATGGAAAGTGTTAGACAGCTCATTCAGAAATTCCCACAAATGTTAAGTGCAAACAAGAAATTTTAACCAGAGTGCAAGTGTTAAATGAGATTATTAAGAATGTAGCTGGGTCAACAAGTGGCTAGATCCGTGGAACAGACTTAATGGTATGAGATATAATACATGTTGGTAAGCAGGTTGAGAAATAGTGTTTGAAGAATTAAACAACTTTATTACATATTGTTTAAACTAAGTTTAGATAATGGTGAAGGAATTTCTTGGACTTTGAGGGACTGTTTAATGAATTTTGAGGATATAAAGGGAATGAATTAATTGACGGTATAGATACACAAATTGAAAATATAAGTTAGCTTCTTTTTTATCCTATTGCAATATGTTGCATGAACTTGAAAGCTCTGATGGCAAGAACTTCAAACCTTATTCATGCTGTTATATCTTGGTTAAATGAAGATTATGAAAATGTTATTCTAAAAGTACTCTGGTTAATAGAATGGGAAGAACAATAATATTATTTGTTAGTAATAAGCCAAAAATTAATGAGAGAAGTGATATTACTGAGATTGAAAACATTAAACATGTCAAGTCTTTGAGTTGAGGTTTCTCAAAATGGCATATTCTACAGGCAATCTGATAAAGTTGTTAACAATGAAAGAAATATATATGAACAGATTAGTTGTGCTATCAATAGAAATAAAATTATTACTATTATGCAAGACAGTAATTTTAATGAAATTTACTGGGTTTGTCTGTCCTCATTGTACAGCACGAGGCTAAAGAATTTTTTAAGATTGTGGGAAACTGTTTTTTCTCTCAGAATGTGAAAGATCCTGTAAACAAAAAGCTCAGTTTAAATCTTGTTCTTAGTACCGAAGATGATACAGTTAAGAATTCAACTGTACAAGGTGCTAGTGAATACATCATTATATTTGATATTTCATTAAACCAGTTGTACAATGAATAAAACTTAACCTCTGATTTTAGAAGTTCTGACGTTCAAAAACTACAAAATATTTTGAAAGTGAAAGATTGGGTGATTTATAAAATTGGTAAGAAGGTTGACGAAATGTGGGATGCTCTTGTTGGTGTAATTAAGAATTAAAAGGGATGCATTTCTTCTACCACATGCAAAAAAACCTTTTCATGAATAACTGAATAAAGATGTTAAACTTCTAATAAGTGAGAAATGCCTAGCTTATCAGGGGCTTGGAAATGTTTCTAAGAAAATCCTTGTCCTAGAGACAAAATTCTAGAAAAATGTACTTGTCTTTCATCAAAATCTACTTGCTCCTTCCCCATCCCACAAAAACACATACAAAAGTGTAGAATATAATTCTAGAACCCATGAATGAAACTAAAGAAGATAATATTAGTTATGTCAATCACACTACATCTGATATACATCAGATACAGTAGGAGTCTAGGCACTAATATATCATTAATTTTCATCAACAATGACTATTATTCACTACATTGTGTGAACCTCATTAAGCAAGTAAATTGTAATTATTGTCAATTTAATTTAAGTCATTTAAAAATCAAATTTTTTAGGGTAAGACTTAATGACACAACATTATTTTTTAAGTTTAACACCAACTGTTTACTGATATGTTTTATTATTCTTTTCTTTAATTATAGTTTTTAGGATTCTGCTTTTATTTAACAGTGAATACAATTAATACAATGTAGTCAAACATTAATGGGCTCCTGCTGTAGACAAAAGCAATACAATAAATAATACTGTTGCATTAATTTAAGTAAGTTTGTTAGTCCGTGTGTGACCTAGGGTTTGTGAATAAAATGGATATAAAGATATTTTTATATACATATATAAATAGTTTTGGTTTGAGGTTTAGAGGAATGCATTTTTCAATGTTCATGGTCATGACTACCACAGTTCAGAATTTTCAGCAACTATTGGATAGTGCGTTCTTCTGGAATACAGAAGCAGAATGAATGATTTGAAAAACAAAAGAAACTACTTGTCCAATGGACACGGTATAATGAAAAACTTCTTCCTTAAACAAACCATGTTGTCCTCAGTGTTGGTCTATATGAATTTCACACCCCTGTTACAAAAACATAAAATTCACTTGTAAAATGAAGAGTACTAAAGTTTAGAGCTAAAAGAAAAGAAATCCAAAAAGCATTTATGTTGAGGAAAAGAAAGAAAAGGATTTATTACTGATAAAAACTTACAACAAATAAGGTTCAGTGCTACTATAGTATGTGGTCGAAACAGATATTTATACTATAGCATGCAGTCTACACAAATACTATTATCATCACAGTTTTAACTTTTGTTCATTTGCAATTGGTACCATTTATTATAAATAACGTTCTTAAACTAAAAAGTACAAAATACCATTACCTAACGTTTTTGGGGCAGATATAATCGGAATGAAATTCCAACAATCAAAACTAGCACAATTATAACCTAAATTTTAGGTACTCTTTTGGAACACACAACTTATTAAATTATTATTATTTGCTGAACAAAAATGTGGATAGATATAAATTATTTAGCAAGAAATTATGTTTTAGTGAATCATTAAAATGGTGATGATGATAGTATCTGTGTAGACTGCATGCTATAGTGTAAATATCTTTGTAGACCACATGCTATAGTAGCACCTAAGGTTCTTTGTTCTCTTTATAGAAGTTTTATGTTTAAGAACAAGTTTATTGTGCCCTTTTCAGAAAAAACTAACAAGGTTTTGTTTGGAGTACTTTGTTCAGTTTTGGTTTTCATATTACATGAATGATATGTACATATTGGAAAGAAAAGAGAGACACATACAGTAATGAGAAGGGTTCTTCATTTAAGTACTTTATGAGTTTTGTTTGTTTTAGCACATTGCTATACAATGGACTATCTGAACTCTGTTCATCATGAAGAATCAAACTTACCATTGATCCACCAGCGAGTTAATTCACGAAGAGAGGCTTAAGAGTTTATGACTTGTTTTCTCTGATGTGTCGAAAAATTAGATGGGCCTTGATTCAGGTATTCAAGATTGTTTAGCTAATGTTCTGTTGTATAATTTTTTTTTCAGTATTTTTATGTTTACATTTATTCTCATGAAAGAATTATTTGATGCATTATGTAATACATGATAACCTGAAACTGCAAGTTCAATAATTTTCATCTTGATTTTACTATATGAAAGATAAACATGATAACAGTTATATAAGCCTGATAAGCATTCTATTAATATAACACATGGACAAGGGACCATTTGGTCCTTTAAGGCTGTCTTTGCAAATCTACCCTTCAGAAAAGTAAAATTTCAACCAACCCATTTTTTTTTTCAGGGAATCATTGACTTTCTCTTAAATTCCTGTAAAGCACTGGCTTCCACTACTGCCCAAAGATGCTCATTTCCAACAAGTCACCCTGTTAGAAAAACAAAACTGTCTTAAATGGAGACTACCCTGTCTTTTCCAAATCTTAAAGAAATCAATTTTTTTTTATTATAAATACTCCAGTCAATCTTATAAACATGAATGAGATCACTTCTTACACTTCTTTTCTCAAGAGAAAATAATTTAGCCTATTCCTCTAATATAACCTTTACATTCCAAGAATTCTCCTAGTAGCCTTCCTTTGAATGCTTTCCAATAAACCAATATTTTTTCTTAGATAAGGAGACCAAAACTGTGCACAGTATTTCAAGTGAGGCCTATCTAGTTACTTGTATAGAGTAATACTCTTTCATTTTCAAACTGTAATCAATGTGTATAATTACATAAAATTCTACTAACTTTACTAAGTTACCAATCCACCATTGCACCAAGATCTTTTTTCTTTAGTCACATTACTGAGTGGATTCCTATCTACCGTATTTTTCTGTGTATAAGATGCACTTTTTTACCCCAAAATTTGATGTCAAAATCTGCTTGTGTCCTATACACCGAAGGTATGAATAATATATATATGTATATATATGATATACACAAGCCATGTGTAAATATATTTAAATAGCCATGCATAGCTTAGTTCAATTGAATGTGTTATTTATAACAATTATAGTTTTTTCTTTTAAAAACATAACTATTTAAAATGCCCCCTAAATAATAAAAAAAAAAAATACAGTGAAAGCAATGAAGGTTTTGAACCAAACTAAATAACAGTAAACCTTTTTCTGATTTACAGTATTTTCTTATTTTGATGTTTTAAGCTCTTTTGTGTTTAGAACAATATATACTGATTTTTAAAGTATCAAATTGAATTTTTGTTCAATAAAAATCCTTCAAATGCGACTGTAGCTTTTTTGCCCCAAAACTTCGTCTTCAAAATAAGGGTGTGTCTTATACACCGGTTCGTCTTATATTCCAAAAAATATGGTATGTTAAACATGTGATCCAAATTTTAATTAGTATTAGGAAAGAAATTATTGTTAAATAAAAAAGTTATGTATGGCTGCCTATCTACCTAGATATGAAATTATGATAGTTATTGCATTTCATGTTGAATGTCCATACCTAATACTGTGAGTTTTTAATTTATGCATGAAGATGTTTAATTTTTAATGATATTGGTCCTTTGTCAGTATGATAATACATGACCTGGATTACCAGTTCTTCAGTGAATGTATCCAGCAAAACCTTGAGCAATTGGGGTATATTTTTTTAATTGAGCTCATTAAGAAAGTTGGGCAAATTCTCACTGATTCTACATATTAATATGTTGAATTATCATAGTGGGTAGCTAGTTTATTAATTTTATTGAGCTGCATCAACAATTTAATTAACCCTACGTGCATAGGTGGGTGTCAAAGTGTGCATGCCACAACTTTTTTACATGGTGTCATTCAACATGGTATTATGTATTTGATGTCAGAGTTATCAATTCATATTACCACAAGTATCAGGAAAAAGAATTATCCTTAAATAAAAAAGCTATGTAGGGTTTTTATTCTCCATGTAAAGTCAAGACAGCCTAGCCCACTATATGATCATTAGCCAACCATGTGATACAACCACTTCTATCCCTATTTTGTTTTTGTCTTTTTTCAAGATCAGTAACCAGGCCTACATACCTTTTTTATTTAATGATTTTTTTCCCTATACTTATTTGTTTACTTTTTTTGTTACTAGGTTATGAAAAGATTAATAATACAATAGGTAATAAAAGATGGTGAAGGCTGTTTTGCTCTATCAAATGATGATAAAATTATAGTTACTGCTAAGAACTAGGTAGACACTAGGCCTGTTGAAGAAAGATGGTGAATGAAAATAACAAATCTCAGTTTTGGCCGTTTGCCAGTGTTTGACTTTGGGATGCTCTGTATAGCTTTAAAAGTGGCATATAAACCAAAGGTAGAGCGACTATGCCAAGTAGCTTTTCATATCTAGCTTCTGATGACCCATGCATACTGATTTTTTTTACTCCTTCATAAATAATATAGGGGTTAGCTTCATAAAGACAACAATTATATAGTATACAAAGCATTGGGTATTCTACATGTTACAGTCATTATTGGCTAGTAATTCCTGTTTCACCCTGTACTTAAGCTTTTTAAAGGAACGCCATATTTCTGTAAGGAAGCTAGCTTCAAGCCATAATAACATCATTTACACTGGAATTATGATTCGTTTTTTTTAATTTTGCATTGAATAATAATAAAATTGGTAGTCAAAGATTGTGAATACTGTTCTGCTCTATCAAATGATGATAAAATTAAGTAACTGCTAGAACAATGAAAGCACCAGGCCGGTTGAAGAAAGATGATGAACATGAATAAGAAAACTTGGTTTTGGCTATTCGCCAGTTTTTCACTTTAGGAAGCTCTCAATAGCTGAAAAGCAGAATATACACCACAGATAAAGTGACTGTGCTTGGTAGCTCTTCATATCTAGCTTTTGATGACTTTTGTATTGCTTTGATACAGGCATCTGTGCCATCCCCATGTATAGAATGCTTGCTCACACTCTCTGATAACCCAACTGCATTACCTTGCACTTTCAAATTAAAAGTCATTTGAAAAATTCCATCCTACTAACAATAGATTCAAGCCATTCCGTAGTACTTCAACATCCTCAATACAGCTACAAAAACCCAAGAGTTTATTTTAAGTTATCATCAAACTTAATATATTATTACATCTCTGCTCGTTTATTAATTTCCTTAAATTAATTTTCTTAGTCCTTTCTTAATTAAAACTAGTTTATTCTTTCTCGATACAACTTTGTAATACACAGAATTTCCACAGTAACTTTAAAATTAAAATCCTTATAACATACGCTATAAATCACAGCAATTCACATACTTTACTTGTGGTGCCTACTACTCGCTTGACTCAATTATCAATTATTTCTCTTCAATTTATGTCCGACTTATATACTAAAAAAGAGGGCATCTAGCAAACGCTGGGACATTTGTGAGGTTGCCCTATAAGTCACAATCCTTCTAGAAACTCCAGCGCACATGTTCCCAGCGTCGCATGACTTCTGCTGTCATAACACTGCCTCTTCCTTAGCATTGTTCATCCCGAACAATAACCACTTACATTAAACCAATAGATAATTAACAATAACTTAATTAAATGTACTGAATTTACAAACACAAAATTAAAATTCAACAAAGTCTCTTAATTTTACGGGACGTATCTTCTTCCGTACTGGTCTCTGTCTCGTTGGCTTCTGCTTCACGTGGGGTTCATCTGCTCCATCAGGAAATGTCCTATTATCAGTAACAGTCACATCAGTGGTAGTAACTTCATCAAGGACTTCACCATTTCCATTCTCAAAACTGGGTAGAGTTTCTTCTTCGACAGTGGCTTTTTCAGGTGACACGTCTTCAGCAGCATCATTTGTTTCGTTGTTCACTTCGTTCCAACTAAAATGTCCTGGACTATGATAATGCCAAAACCTGTTGGCATGCACCACCTTCAGCTTACCTCACCGACCACATTTTATTCGAAAAGTCACGTCTGAGAGACGATCCACTATGTCATATGGGCCCTCCTGGGATTATACAACCACACCTTGTCTCCTGGTACAAAGCTGTCTTCAGCAGATCTCTTATCATAACATAGCTTCATGGAATCAGCAGACGTTTTCAAGTTTGAACGCACTTGATGGTGAATATCATACATCCTTTCAGATAACACTTTCACGAACACTGACACATTTTCAGGCAACTCTTCGTAAGGTGGGCGTCCTGTTATCAGATTCACTGGCAACCGAAGTTCCCGACCAAACATCAGTTTTGCTGGAGTGTATCCAGTGGCTTCATGCTCTGCTGTTCTATAGGCCATTGACAGTAGAGGGAGTAAGACATCCCAGTCATCTTGGTGGCTATTACAAAACTTTGCCAATTCCTGTCCCAGTGTCCAATTGTATATTTCTACCATCCCATCAGACTTTGGGTGAATTGGGGTTGTTCTGGTCTTTCATATGCCAAACAACTTGCAGCATTCATGGAACATAGCTGATTCAAAGTTACAGCCTTGATCTGAATGTAGTTCGTATGGCATACCAAATCTGAAGAAGAAATCACTAATAGCCGAAGCTACAATTGTAGCTTCCTGATTTGGTATTGCATATGCCTCAGGCCACTTAGTGAAATAATCCATCACCACACAAATGTACTTGTTTCCAGCATGAGTTTGGGACAAAGGACCAGCAATTTCAACAGTTACTCTTTCCATTGGTATGCCAACTTGATGTAACTTCTTTGGAGCATGTCCCTTATGCTTGGGTCCCCTTTTAGCACAACATGTACTGCAGGTCCTGCACCGTTCTTCCACATCTGCCTCATACCAATCCAGAAAAATCTGTGTCGCAGGCGACTCAATGTCTTCTTAACTCTGAGATGTCCTCTTGTTAAACTATCATGGGATTGATGAAGCACAACTTCCCGTAACTTTCTCGGTATAACTGTTTGCCAGGTTGTCACTTTACCATTTGCAGTTTCCCATCTCCGGACAAGAATACCATCTTCAAGCTTCAACTGGTCCCATTGTGCCCAATAGTTCTTTGTCACAAAGCTTAAGCTAAACACTTTCTCCCAAGCAGAGTGCAAAACACTTGCTTTCAGAAAATCAATTATTGGCTTCAAATCTTGGTCTTTCTCCTGTTATGCTTTAATATCTATACTTGGTTCCACTTCACCATCATCAACTCCTTCAGTCACTTTGACTTCAACTTGATCACATCTGGTTAGCACAACCTCTCTTTTGCAGCAATGTCTGCAGTCATTTTTGCAGGGTCTTCGGCTCAGTCCATCGGCATTTCCATGAGATTTTCCTTCCCTGTATTCAATATCATAATTATACTAGTTTATCTATCTGATCCAACGTGCCAGTTGTCCCTCTGGGTTCTTTAATGATCTTAACCAGCATAATGCAGCATGGTCTGTCCTGATGGTAAACCTGGTCCCATAGAGGTAAGAATGGAAATATGTCAGACTCTTTACTATAGCAAGGAGTTCCCTCTGTGTTACACAGAAGTTCCTTTCTGGTCTACTTAGGACCCTACTGAAGAAGGCCACCACATTTTCGTTTTTGCCCACTTTCTGAGACAACACTCTTTCAATTCCAACATTACTAGCATCACAATCCAGTATGTATGGCAGTGAGAGATGGGGTAGCTTTAAAAGTGGACCTGAGGCCAATTTTTCTTTCAATGTTTTGAAAGCATGCTGGCAAGAAACTGTCCATTCGAACTTCTGGTCTTTTTTTTGTTTAAATCATGTAGTGGAGCAGCTATTGTTGCAAAGCCCTTTACAAACTTCCGGTAATAGTTACAGAGTCCCAAGAAGTTTCTTAACTCTCCCACATTGTCTGGTATTGGCCAATCACGCACTGCTTGCACCTTGTTAGGATCAG